GACATAGAGGAAAGGGGGGCGGGTTTCATATTTTCTGTGTTCCTCTCTCTCTTTTAGCTTGAAGTGTACAAAGCAAATGTTTACCAAGTGCTCTGTAATTGTAAAGCGCTATAAAATGCAAACTATTATCATGAATACTTTAACATTTTAATTTAATATTTAGTCCCTTTCTCATATCTCTCATAGCACTTTGTCTTTACTTCTCATAGGTACCACATTCTAGTTTGAATTATTGACGTCCTTTTCTTATGTCCTTTAATAGATTCTGAGGTCCTTGAATTCAGAAGCTGTGCCTTACTCATCTTTGTATCTTCAATTCCTAGGATGGTGTTTTACACATAACAGCCATTTACAAAATGTTTCTTAAACAGAATCAAAGTGGTAGTCTAATTTTTAAAATGGAAGTCAATTGATAAATACAGGTACAAATGTACCAAAGAAGTCAGGTCAGATAGAAGAGCAAGGGGACTTATTTCTTACCTTGAGTCCATTTTGATTGGTTTTTCCCTATTCCTTGTATCCTATATCCAATCATCTGCCAAGTCTTGACAATTCTACTTCCACATCTCTCTTCTCCTTTCGACTCATATGGCAGACCCTCATCACCTTTCACTGGACTATTACAGTTGTCTCTGAATTCATCTCCCTGCTTCTAGTCTGTTCCCTTTCTAATCTACCCTCCTCACAACTGCCAGAATAATCTTCCTAAGGCTTGATCATGTCACTCTCTTACTCAAAAATCTCCAGTGACTCCCTATTGCCTCTCAGAAAAAACATGAACTCCCCAGCCTAGCATTTAAAGTCCTCCATAATCTGATTGCATCTAACATTTCCTGATTTATTTCATGTTACTCCCATTTATATGCTTTATATCAAAGCCAAACTTCCTTGTTAGCTGTTCCTTGAACTCACTATTCAATAGCTCATCTCCTTGCTATGGGAAAATGTCCCCTATACTTGGAATCCACTTCCTCCTTACTTATACCTTAGGAATCCTTGGCTTCCCTCAAATTATTTTAAATTTATTCATCACTTTACATACTATCCCTCCTCGTAGAATGTAAGTTCTTTGAAAGTAGAAGCTATTTTTATTTTTGTCTTTTTGTCCCCTATTTGAGAGGCAACATACATCCTTAATAGAAAACTGGCCTGGAAACAGGAAGACCTGGGTTCAAGTTTCTAAGGAGTCCTCCTACCTCTCAGTTACTACAGCATCTCTCAAAGACTTTAAGTTGCAGTGAAAGTGCTCATCTGTACTGGTAGAAGGACTTTACTCATTGGGAGGTCTACATACTAAAGAAATCAGCAGATGTGTGGACTTAAAAAAAAAAGCAAAAACCAAAAATAAAAACTAACTCCTGGTACTTTGTACATGGTAGGTCCTTAATAAATATTTGAATTAAATTGATTGAATCAGGACAGTGTACTCTCTACTGGCCTACTTTTTTTTTACTTTAATTAATGAACATTTAATGTTCAAGGCCAAAACTGGCCTGTTATGTAGTCATAGTAGGTGACCATCAGTATGGTTTTATTTTATTTTGGGTTTTTTTTTTGTTTGTTTTAGGTCATGATGAAAGAGCTCCAGACTTGAAGTCAGAGGACCTGGGTTCAGATCACAGTTCTACTCTTTATGTTGTAAAATGTGCTTTGCAAATAGTAGACTCTAGTGTCTGAGGCTAGATTAGAAATCTTGTCTTCCTGACTTGAGCCCTAGCAGTTTATCTATTGTGCCATCTATTGTGGCACCGTTGTGCTTTGAGTAAGTCACTTTACTTGCCTAGACTTTAGTTTTCTCATCTGTCAAAGAATAGGCTTGGGCTAGATAGTATCAGACTTCCATTCTAACTCTCAATCTTATGTATCTATGAGAGGCAGCAGGGAACATTTCCCTCATTGATAGCTGAAATTATGCTATTAGTTATTTTTAATTTGTGCTAATTATCATCCTCTCCAAGATCTCTTTTAAAATGTTCTAGGAGGGAGTAACCCTACAAGACCTTGATGTGGATGAATTAATGAATTTATCAAGTATCTTTCCTTTGGTGACAGGAGAGACAGAGAAAGACAGAGAGCAAGGAGAGAGACAGAGACAGAGAGAGATGAGAAATAGAGACAGAAAGACAGAAAGGCAAAAACAGAAAGAAATACAGAGAAAGAGAAAAAGACAGACAGAAATACACAGAGAGAAAAAGAGACAGAAAGTCAGAGAAATAGATATAGAAGGGGGAGAAAGAGTTAGAAAGGTGGGGGAAGAGGAAGAGAGAGAGAAGAAAGAGAAGAGAGAGGAGAGAGAGAGAAGAAAGAGAAGAGAGAGGAGAGAGAGAGAAGAGAAGAGAGAGGAGAGAGAGAGAAGAAAGAGAAGAGAGAGGAGAGAGAGAGAAGAAAGAGAAGAGAGAGAGAGAGAGAGAGAGAGAGAGAGAGAGAGAGAGAGAGAGAGAGAGAGAGAGAGAGAAAGAAAGAGAGAGAAAGAACAAAAATCCTTGGTTCAAAGATACAGAAAGGATAAAAGGAAATATAAAGTAGAGGTTGAGGACACCACAGGCAGGTGCTGGTGCAGTGGACTGAGCACTAACCCTGGAGTCAGAAGACCTGAGTTGAAGTTCAGCTGCAGATACTTACTAGCTGTGTGATTCTGGACAAGTCACTTAATTTCTATTTGCCTCAGTATCCTTAACTGTAAAATGGGGATAGTAATCTACCTCCTAGGATTGTGGGGATTAAATGAGAGAATATTTGTAAAATGTGCTTGGCAAATAGTAGGTGCTGCATAACTGTTTATTCCATTCCCTTCCTCTCACATACAAACTATGTCTAATTAACTGTCCAGGGTTGGACCTACTCATAGCTTTGCTTTGTAAAACCCTTGATGCATTGATACAAGTAATGTAGCCAATATACTTTAAACCTATCTTCTCAATGCCCAGTTCCTAATATTTTTTTCCCAAGAGTTCATTCACAAATTTACAAGTTCTTTCAATAATAGGTGGTACAGTGGGCAGAATGCTGTACTTAGAATTAGGAAGACAGTGTTCAGGTCCTACCTCAGATACCGATTAGCTGTGTGTCCCTTAACTTCTCTTAACTTCATTGTCTTCATCTATAAAATGAGGATCTTACAGCTTTCAAGGTGCCTTTCAGCTCTAAATCTGTGATCCAATGAACCCTTCTGTTATAATGGAAATAATTTGTCCAGAACAAATTTGCTGCAGGCAAATTGGACCTGGACTCCAAAATGGCATGTATTTCCCTCCCCCCCCCCCGCCCCCCGCTCAGCTGAATAGAAGACATGCAGTTCTGGATCATATGACTGGGTTGCAGAGGTCAGAGTCTTTGTTTTGTGCATTAAAGGTTTGCTTGTACTTCAAGAATAGAAAAAGAAATCATATTTTCAGTGGAAAGCAGCAGTCACAAATCAGAATTAGTGTTTCTGTCTACTCTTTTAGATTACTGTTTCACAATGTGATCAATCTTGGCCCATTTCCTTATTAGCTACAAACCAAATCGTGGACTCATAAAGCAAAATTGTTTTTTTTTTCCCTGTAAGAGATGGATTAATTTCTATTTTATGAAAGTCTTCAGAAATTAACTTAATTGATTATTTAACTGATGATGTTTATTTTTAATAATTCTTGCTTTATAATTCGGTTATTGCTACCATTGTTATTATTTTAAATCTACTGCTAAAGTTCCCTTCTAGCTCTTGGTTATGATATAGATACCAAATGCCATGTCAGTGGAGCTTAAGATCTGTCAGGTCCTATTAACCTAGAAAGGCTCTGAGAAGGGATGGATGATAGGTTGGATATCTCTTGTTAGACCAGTAGCTTCCCTAAGTTCAGAGAGGCCATCATCCCTATAGCTGCAGGGCAATGGATTTTTTCCTTGCATTAACTTCTTGAAGACCATCAATTAAGGTGCAAAAGGGTTTTCATTTATATTAATGGGAGGAGTATTGCTGTTGTTCAGATGTTTCAGTCTTGTCCTACTCTTCATGATCCCATTTGGCGTTTTCTTGGCAAAGACATTCGAGTGGTTTGCTATTTCCTTCTCCAATTCATTTTACAGGTGAGGAAACTGAGGCAAACATGCTTAAGTGACTTGTCTAGGGTCACATAGCTAGTCAGTGCCTGAGGCCAGATTTGAACTCAGGAAGCACCATCTAGCTGCCCCAGTGGGAGGAGTACATGCACTGAAATCATAGATTTTCAGTATTGAAGCTTTGTTATTTTCTATGTATGGATTTATTTTGGGGGGTCTGGTCCAGTAATTTCACTGGAGTGGAGAACTCCCAGTGAAAAATCCCTTCTTCCAATGCAGATCAGCAACTACAAAGCAACATATAGTCTTTTAGAGTTCTTTGGAAGAGGTGAGAGGTTAGTTAGTGACTTGTCCAGAGTACAGAGCTGTATTTATCAGAGGTGAGAGTTGAACCAAGGTAATCCTGATTCTGAGACTAGCTCTTTTTATTCTTACTGCTATGAAGCCTCTAATACTACAGGAGTTCTTAATCTTTTTTATGTCATGGACCCCTTTGGCAATCTGGTCAAGCCTATGAATCCCTCATCAGAATAATGTGCTCAAATAAATGCATAAAATAAAATATATAGGATTACAGAGGAAACATCATATTGATACAGCTATCTACGTATTTCTCACATCTAAATTCATGGGCCCCCTGAAATCTATCTCTGGACCCCTTAGAGGCCTCTGGACTCCAAGTTAAGAACCTCTGCTCTTATATTATGACTGATAAGCAATAGCTAGCCTTGACATATGGCATTTTACATAAGTGGTCTCATTTAAGAATAAGAAAATCAGGGCGAAACTACTAGTGGATGGGGCATTTTCTCTTAATTGATGAATATTTTGCTTTTGTCTATATTTCTAGCATTTAGCAGGACCAGGGCTACACTTACAAGTCAATGGAGAAAATGCTATTTGAGGGAGGTCGATATATATATTTTAAACCTAAGGAGCAAATATGAGTTAGTACCTACCTTGCACCTGGAGAACCTGAGAGATGTCAAACCCTTGGCTAATTCTGACAATAATCACACCAATCTCAAAATCAAAGGCATCACTGAAAGTAAAATCAAAATAAAATCATTGTTTTATCCTAGAAGAGACATTTCAAGCTGCTATCATTGAAAAAGTTTCACAAATGCTGATACTGTCAAGTGATTAAAAATGATAAGGCAAAAGCACTAGAGAGGATGGGCAAGAAAGAATGATTCCTCTTCCAAATATTTCCTTATCCCTTATTTTCCTGACTTAGTTATGTCAAGTATTAGAAACAAATGGATCAGTTAGGAACCAGTTTAGTCAATCGATAAAAATCAACGAGAAACTGGATTGATCATAGGATCATCAGGTCCATTTTCCTATCCTGTAAAAATGGAAACTTGTGTCTTAAAAAGGTAGCAAAAAAAAAAAAGGAAGCATTCCTATATTTAAGATCAGAGAATTTTTGGGCTAGAAAGTGCTTTAGAGATAATGTGTGGTGGGGAATCATGAGATCTGGATTCAGATAGCAGCTGTGCCATTTAGCCGCTCTGTGACAGTGAACAAATCATTTCGCATCTATTCTGAACCTCAGTCTCCTCCTTTCTAAAATGAAGGCATCATTCTGGGGATCTCTAATGTCTTTTCCAGCTCTGCCATTTTGTGATTCTGTGTTTTTCTGTGACTCCATTGCTTAACGATCTGCCTGGCCACCTGTCCCTGCGTCCTAATAGTTGCCCCAGTTTGGGGCTTCAGCAAACACTTCAAAGCTCTGTCCTGTCTCAGATTGTCAGCTGGTGGTTGATGTCCTCGGTAGGGCCTCTAAACATGACAAAATGATGTTTGTTGATCCCAGCCTTGTCATACATTAGCTGACTGCCAGATGGCAGTGAGCACCAATAAACAGAACTGTGTTGACTGCAAGGTTAGACATGCCTACTGATGAAACTGCAGGACAGTTTCTCTAGGTTATTGGGATCCAGTTTTGTGAGATTCTGTGCTGTTTTCTCTTTCAGAAATCTTTTGTAAGGGGGAACGTTTGTCTACTCCCTGGCGAGTAAAAAACTCTGGGGAATCTTTGCTCATCTGTGCGCCTACCTGAGTTTGCAAAATGAAGTAGCATTCAGATAAGAAAAGTCAGGGTGGGAATTTATTCAACCCCTAGTTCTGCTGGCAAGTACATGGCTCAGAGAATCATCCCACATTATCTGTTCCTCTTGGGCAGCAGGAAAAAAGCAAAGGATCTTAGCATATTATGGAAAGCCAGGTACTCAGGTAATAGAAGCAGCATCAGGGACACAGTAGCAGAAGGAGACACCCAGATCTGACGTTTGGGGAGTGTGGTTCAGTCAAGGAATGATTAATGGGTACTTTAAGCTTATTCTGTTGGATAAATATTTGTTGGTAAGATTGAGAGGCAGGGTTGCATAATGGTTAGAGGTCCAGTCTTGGCATCAAAAAGAGCTGGGTTCAAGTCTTGCCTCTGATACACATTAGTTATGTGACCATGGGCAAATTACTTATGCTCTCAGGGCCCTTATCTTCTCAGGGACTTTAGCTGGTAGAGAAGTCACTGATCTGTCTCATGATAGGCAGCATCTAAGATGGGAGTTACCTACCCCGATGAGATCCAGACAAAATAATTGTACATTTAATTCAGAAGGTGAAGAACTTCCCTTGTATTTTTCAGTGCCTCAAGGGACAAAATGCTCAGTTAAAAAATTCACAGGCATGTTATTAAAGTAATTTCACATGCAGGCGGCCAATGTGTGGCTACACATATAATTATCATCTTGATTTCTAATCTGGCAGAGGAGGTGAGGGATTGGAGTAGTTTAAGAAGTATTCAGTATGGGCAGAAGGCTCTCTTCTCTGTACAAATGGCCCGATTCTATCATAGCCCCTAGCACGGGGTAGAAGGGCAAGACCTGCCTAGACCCTAGCACACAGTACGAAAAAGGGGAGGAACCCTTTCAGCTTGGTGGCTTAGGCCAGGAAGGATGCTGGAGAATACTCTGCACTGTAGCTTCCTGTTGCCCTATGGTGAAGGCCTCCTTGGATATATATAAGCCAGGGGAAAAAACCCCGACACCCTTCCCCCCCCAAAAAAAATTTGACTGTTGACTAATTAGGCCAGTAGCTATAAGAAGTAGCCAACTATTTTCCCATAAGCTTTTGGGAGAGGGGAGAAAAGGGGAAAAAAAATTCCTTTCTTTGAACTTCTGGAGTATGCATTCTTTGATGTGAATCAGACAACTGAACCAAAGGGTCTTTTTGTTTCTTGTTTTTTAATAGGGACCTTTCATTCCATTGGCTGCCAGTACTGAGGTATTGGTAATTACAGGGAAATTGGAGAGCTATGGTTACTGTGCACCTTGAATAAGGGCAGGGACTGTCAAGAAATTTATAGGTGTGGAGAAGTATAGATGCCAGTTGGGGCCACCAGCAGGTGATGGCATCTCTGAGGACATAGTCTGAGGCAGTCTGTAAAGTACAATGGGAGCACTTTACTCACACTGGTGATTGCAAACTGACTGTGGAAGTTGTGTTGACACAGGATGTGGAGAGCATCATGCTAACCCTGTGGAGGAGTGGTGATCTGGGACTTGGTCTAAGATGGTGTTTGGCCCTGCAGCTCATAGTGATGGTGGGGTTTTATGCCCTTTATGAGTTACATGGCTTCCTGTCAGTTCTGCCCATGAGAATGGAGTGAGTCCTGTCAATATATGTGTGCCTTGTAGAGAAATGGGTCTCTGGATAGCCCTGCTGATTTGGTCTGTTGTTGGGCTGTGGTATTGACTTAGGTGAGAAATTGTAGGAAGTTACTATCACATAGCATCTTGTGATTATAAGATCTGATCCTGTGGAGCTCTTACCTGATTAGTATACTTCCTTCATCCATAGTGAAGGTATAATAATAGGGAGAAATGATAGCTATATTAGGCATATAGCACCAATACTATAATAATCACATGAAAAAAATATCCTATGCCTTAATCAGTTCACATCCCACTAATACTTGCACTCTTCAGAAAGAGACAGCATTTAGGAGTTTTCATATTACAGAGGGGATCTTACAGAAAAGGGATGTTAAATGAGTCATTCAAGATCCCGAAGAAGTCAGGGGCTGAGCTAGGACTGACATTTGAATTTCAGATATTCAATATTCCTCTAGGATCTAGGAACATATGATGTTATCATTAGCTTTATTTATAGAGAATCCAGAGTAACTTAAGATTATGTTTTCCTTGGGGTAAAAGCAACTCAACATGGCACATGCATGTCTTAAGCACTGTCCTCGTTAGGATTTTATCATTTTTTTTTAAAAAAGGAATATATTTAAAACTCATCACTTACTGTATAATTCCCACATAGTTCTCAATCTCTGCAGGGGGAGCTTTCCTCCAGTTTTTTTTAAATCCAATCACCATAGTGTTTGGTTTCATTCTTCCCAAGCCCGAGGCCTAAATAGTACATAAAAACATGGACACTTCTTACCATACATATACAATACTGCAGCAAATGAAAAATAATGGTCCAAAGATCACTGAAGTAATGTTCTTGAGATTTTGAAGATTAGATTACATTTTACTGTGTGTCCTTCATGCCCGTACCCAAGCATAAAATAGAAAGATTAGTTCTAAATCATCTCAGCCATAAATGGTTTTTAGATGACAAAAATGTAGCTTTTCTAAATTAGCATTCATTTGCATTTCTTCTGACATACACTCATTAAAATGGTTCAATAATTTAAAATCAAGAGAGGGTTGGTTTAGTGGCTGGCATGCTTATTGTAACAGAGTGGTACCAAGCTCGTTTCCAATTGTAACATCTGTAATGTCACTAGTAATGAGGTTCATCTTTAGATTTCTGACACACAAAGGCCACTAAAGGATGAATCTGTGGCAGCAGTTGAAATGGAATACGGCATTTTTCCAGAACCAAATCTACTCTACTGAGCATGCTGTATATAGCAATTCCAAATTTTCCAATTGGTATCTATACATACATCTAATTCCCTTTTGGTTACATGATCTGAATACCAGTTCCATCAATTAATACTTGGAAGTTGATTTAAGTGATAGAAATTTGTGTAAGTATATTTGTCATTCAGCTTAATCAGAATAATTAGAATCTCTCTACTCTAAATGTAGATCTACTTGGAGTAACTTTATTCATCTCTACCCTGATCTGGGCTCTCTTGTCTTCTCCCTCTCTACTATTTCATTTGCAATCAAGCTCCCACGGTTTCAGTTATCATGTCTTTGCACTTGACTCTTATATCTACTTGCCCATCCCTAATCTCTTTCCCAGCTTTCAGTCTTGCATCTACATCTACCTGTTAGACATCTCAAACTGCATATCCTGTTAACATTTTCAACTCAGCATGTCCCGTACTGAACTCATTATTACCACCCATTAATAATATAATACTTATTTATGAAATTGGCAACCATGAGCGGAGGGCTTAGCCTAGGCAAGTGGAGGCTTACCTCTTCATCAAAAACTAGAGAAAATGAGGAGATAAGGGAGAGTTAAGAGGATTTTGGAGGTTCAGAGTGGGAGAGAAAAGGATGGCTTCTATTTTATCAGTAAAGTAGGAGATGTCTTCTGGGAGGAGGAACAAAGAAGGTCTTAGAAGAGAAGAGAATGTTTGGAATAGCCACAGTGGACAGTGTGATAGAATGCCAAAAAAGGGGAAAATAAAAGTATTGTATACATCAGTAAGGGCTCAACTGAGATTAGAAAACATAAATTTGTGGGAAACCCATCTGGCAGATTAGTGTGACTTTATTTAGTATTGTTCAGCAACATATGAGTAGGAATAGAGAAAGCAGATGATGGCCATGACCCAGGATTCAAGTTTGGCAAGATGTGTCTGATAACAGGACAAAGGACAAAGTACTCAAGGAAAGGTGGAGACATATGGTTGAATTGGTCAACCATATGGTCAAGACTGTGAAAGATGAGGAGTGCAACTATAATAAGGATAATGAACCTTGGAAAACAAGAAGGGGTAGAGAACTGGGGGTTAGAGTGAGTATGGAGACTGTTTGGGAGGGGGACCCAAAGTAGAGACTGAACAGTAGATGGCTGTGGAGGTCAGAGAGATGAACTTCAGGGTTCTGGAACATTGAGGTGGTGTAGTTATGGGAGATGATGGTCAGATCACTGGTATGACCATTTCTGTGTTTGGCTGAGGTGAAATGAAGGTGGACAGCATGGAAGTTTGGGAAGTTAATGCAACTGGTACAATTTCAGCTGTGAAAAGGAACATCTGGAAGACCCCTCCATCTATAGGAAATCTCTCTTTTGTTTTGACTCTGTGCAGTACATTCTGCACGACAATGATGGACTTCTTTGGCAAGTGTATATCTCCATTTTATGCCATCCTTAAATGATGATAATCAGGACTATTGAACAAAATCATTCCTGTAGTTACATCCATAAAAGAACATTATACGATCTCAACAATCAATAATAAATCCAACTCTTGTATTCTCTACACTTTTCCGCCAGTTGTGGGATTCTGAAGATGAAGCCTTCCACAAAAAAAAAAAATCATTTGCAGAAGTCTACCTGTTTATTTTTCCTATTTTCATCTGGAGTACCCTTGATATATGGGCAGGTCATTTTCATGCAAATTTTATAGAGATGAGCATATACACATATGAATTTTTAGTTACTGAGTCCTCAGTAATAATATTATTTATGATTTCATTTTCAAAATCATTTGGTGTCTCTCTACTTTCAAATATCTTGAGAATAGATCCTTCAGTGCTGACGAAATTGTTACACAGCCATCATCCTGGTACAAGCCCTTGTACCTGGACCTATGTCATTGCAAGAGCCTTCTACTTGGTCCCCCTGCCTTGTCTCCTCCTACCCCAATCCATTCTTCACTGAATTGCCAGAGTGATTTTCCTGCAGCATGTATCTGACCATCTCACTGCCCTCAGTCCCCATTACCCCATTCCACTTTGGATATATCTTGTATGCTCATAGGTAGTTATTTGCATATTGTCTCCCCCATTAGAAGGTGATCTCCTAAAGGGCAAGGACTCAGTTTTCTTTGTATCTCCAGAACTTGGCATAGATAGTGCCTGGCACACACTAACTACTTGTCGATTGACTAATTGACTGTCATATCCAGCAGGGTTCTCTATATATTTTTTTCCTGCACGTACTTGATCTGTTCCAGCTTTTCTTCTCAATTGCATCTTCTTTAGTACCACCTCCTCTTCTTCATGCAGCATGTGTGCTTTTTTTGTCCATTAGCTTTCCGCAGAAGAAACAATGAAGCACATCTATCCCCTTATTGCAGAGAAGTAGAGGAGCATTGGGACAGAACTCTGTGTCTACATTGCCAACTAAAGTCACTGGAACTGATTTTATTTAATTGTTTTTCTTTGTCAAAAGAGAGGCTTCAATCTAGAATGAGGCTGTGACAGAAGTGATTTAAGGACAAACTGTATAAATAAAATGTATTTTTTAAAAAGAAAAGAAGGCAAAGTTGCTGATATTTATTCCTAAGGGTATACCCTATCCTTCGATTTCTGAATTTCCATATTTAGAACAGTCACAAGTTAGGACCATATCCAGATGACAGAAATGTTTGTCTAGGCAGGACAGGAAATGCAAAGGGGAATGCAGACTCAAATGGATAGTCTTGGAGACTGGGAGTCAAGGATTCAGAAAAAAGAGTCACTATCTTCCTAACTCCTGAAGAGCATGCACAAAGTCATTCAGTAAAGAGGAATAATTTTTGACATAATAGACCCACGTATACATAAAGTCTATCACCAAATCTCTCTGGCTCATGTCCCCACTCGTGGAAAACCTGCAAATGTCAGTATCTGTTTGTTTTGCATTTCCCAAAAGGCCCTCAGTTTTCTGGCATGTATTTAGGTTAACAAAAATTAACAATAGGGCAGGTTTTCTTTAACTCCCCAAAACTTGACTCTAGAGTCCATTTACTGTCAAGACAATTTTCTGGAGGTTGTCAGGCAGCCTTCTCCTCTGGTGGGGCCCACCTGGCCCTAGTACCTGCTGAGCCCCTCGAGTCAGAGCACCAACAAAGTGTTATCAATCTAGAGCTGGGAAGGACCTTGGAGGCCATCCAGCTCATTTTACAGGCTTACGGAGGTTAAAGGACTCACCCAAGATCATGCAGGGAGTCAGAGTTGGAATCCATTGGCCCGTAGTGCCTCCTGAGATAGGTCCAAGTTGCTTCTTGGTATGTGTTGTTCCCTGTTGTGCTGATGTCTCCAAGGCCACTGTCTGTGGGGTAGCTTTACTCTCGCATGACTCAACTATCGTCTCAGCATCCGTCTAGTGTAAGCTTCTTGATACACACAATTTCCTGCATTGGACACATGGCCATACGAACCTCTCTGTCTCCTCTCCTTGTAGCTTGTATATTTCCTCCAGAAGCATATCCCTTCTTGTGCATACACATCCCCATGAACAAGAGGAGGGGACTAGCTTGCATGCCTGTTACACGTGATCAGAAGGGGAGGTTGACTGGCCCCACAGGAAGAACAAGGGATAACAGATGGATGGCCCAGATGATGTAATGGCATTCGCAATACGTTAAAAAAGGTCTAGGAGAAGGCCTTCTGTGCACTGAGGAGTTTTTCTCTAGGCTTATGAAAGGACGTGAAAAAGAATACCACAGAATGAGAAGACATGGATTGGTTGCAATCTGCCCCCACGTCAGTGAGATCCCAAATCTACTGAAACATTGAAATAAATGTACTTCAGTGTCCTAACCATCCTGTCTCCCATAGCCTTGTCAATGGTGATAGTAATTCTTATCTTCTCCTCACCAATCTTCAGCCTCAGTTGATTTTTTATTTCTGCTGCAGAAGTTGTCTTCTTCGATATACATTATTTGACCCCGGCATCTCTTTCATGTGGGCCTTTAAATTGCTTCTATCCATTTGTATCAGCTTTAAAACCCATTGACGAAATCCATGGATTATCTCACATGGGTGAGGTTCTCATATGCTCAGGCTATCCCCTCACCTTATCTTGGTTCATTGACTCAAAGTCCCCTTAATCCATTGTCCCATTCTTGTTTATAAACCTTCTCACCACACTGTCATATGACTAAATTCACTTTGCTAAGCTCCCCCTTTCTGCTGTTCATTTTTTAGTCGTGTCCAAATTTTTGTAACCCTATTTGGAGTTTTCTTGGCAAAGATACTGGAGTCATTTGCCATTTCCTTCTCCAGCTCATTTTACAGATAAGGAAACTGAGGCAAACAAGTGACTTGTTCAGGGTCACATAGCTAGTGTCTGAGGGCAGATTTGAACTCAGGAAGAGGAGTCTTCCTGACTCCAGACTAAGTGCTCTATGCAGTATGGAGCCACCTAGCTGCCCCATAAGCATCCCCTACTCTTAGGTAAAGTAGCTCCTGAAGCACCTTCGTAAAAGCTATCCTAGGTGGATCAGAGATGA